TATTTACAATAACTAATTACTTATGCTTATTAATTTTAAAATTAAAAAAAAATTTTTTGTAATTTTAGATAATTGTCCAAAGCATTGCAGTATAAAGATATTTTAGAACCACAAATATCTTATTTTACATCCACTCAGCCATGAATTAATCCTATAGAAGGCATCTGGAAATTATTGAAAGATTAAGTATTAAAAATCAACTCACCCATTTAATTTCAATTGAGAGAAATCCATAATTATTCAAAAAAACTAAATAAACAAATAATTGAAAACCTTATTGATCATTCTTTTAATGTAATAAATAAAATTGACATATACTAAATTGATATTTGAGTATTTGATAAAAAAATAAACCCTTAATCAAAAACTATAAATAATATATATTAGGACTATACTCAGGTACTAAAATAATAGTGAACATAAGGATAATAAATTGTTATAAAGGTAGATAGATGATTTATTCATAAAATTAATTTTAATGTCAAAACTGTTACACATACACTTATCATAATAAATTTATTAGAATATCAAGCTATTGTAGAAAATGCTAAAGCAGATTTGTTAAGTTCACTTATAATTTAGTTGTTGTAATCATTGAATTTATCTTAATTATGATTATTTTATAGAAGACATCTTCCTACGCAAGTTTTAAGGATTAACTTGTGAATTAACAAGCAGTAATTCTAATATTAAGTTTTCTTTTAAATAATAAATAATAAATAAAAAGATACTCTGAAAAATAATATAGAATAGGGATACTAATTAAATCAATTCAAATGTTCACATTAATTACTGCATTTAAGTAAATTCAGTATATATTAGAAAGAATGATTAAGATAGGAATAGCTACATAGTCTGTTAGAAATAAAGATTTTAGATGATTCCCTAAAATTATAATAGAATAAATGAGAATGAGATTACTAAAAATTAAACTGGAAATGAAGCTAAAGGAAATCCTCCTTATTTGAAAATCCCTTACCTAAAAAATGTTCTATATCTGTTTCATAACAACTAAAAATTTTTTAAATATAAATTAAATAAATAGAGTAGGTAAGAGAAAAAGTAACTGAAATCAAGAGCCTAACATAGCTTCCTAAAATTAAATTCTTATTTTATGGTTTTTTCTTTTTCGATACCTGAAAAATCTTATGAAATTAAATATTTGTCGTCCTTTTCTAAATTAATTTTTTATTTAAATATGGTTGTTCTTTAAGTTAATTTTCCGGTCTCAAATTTAAAATAAATTATAAAAATTCATTTTGGAGATACCCTCATCTGAAATAAATTACAAATATGATATCGTGAAAAATACTTTTTTACTAGCATAAAATCTATCATTTATTATACACTAGGTAGTCTGATTTGTATTCTCAATAATAAAATTTATATATTCTATACAATGATAGTTCTGTATGTATACTTAAAAAGAAAATTAAAATCGTATTTTCAATTTTAATATATCAATAAAGAAAGATCAAAACACTCATCTTATTAAAGATTTATTCAAGAAATCTCTCTATTCTTAAATAAAATAATTAATTTATAATAATATGCCTAAATATCAATAATTTTAAAAAAAGTCCTTCAATCCTGGATTAATCAATTCTTTTTTTTAATCATCTGATATCGGTGGCAAATTGTTCCATTTGAACATGCTATGACATCCTTTAGCTTTCTTTTAATGTATATTTTTTGAATAATTAAATTAAAGGGGGTATTTATTTACCAATTTAAATTTTATTCCTTCATCATTTATTTCGATATCATAATTACATTCTTCCCCTCCCTAACAAAAGAGATATTCCTATTCTGGATATTATCCACATGGTGTTTAACCTTCTGCTCCAGATACACGAAGCCATGTTAAATGACAAGATGGACATTCTTTAATCTCATTTAAAAATGAAAACTGGAGACCTTTTATTTTTTCATAAACTATATCAAATAATTCAATTAATTGAGTGATCTTAATATTTTGCAATAAGATTTATATTAAATATGGATTTTATTAATAAATTTGTAATGAGTATATTTCATTAAAACAATCTTTATAATTTTCTTCTACTTATTTAATTACTTGTTAAGTTTTGATTTTAATTGTTGTTAATAATTGAATTAATAGTTAATAATCCTCACCAATTTTCATATTAGACCAAATATTATCATTATTAATAAACCTTTATACATTGACTGTTATTTTATTTAATTCGGAAGTAAATATTTTTTTAAGTTATTAATAATAAGCATTTTAAAATACTTAATTTCCTTAACCTAGCAAGATTGAAAAAATTTTAATTTTTTAAATTTAATTAATGTTTTCTATATAACAATATTAAGGTTTTTATTCTAATTTTTTTAATTTGTCGATATCATTAAGTTTCCCTTATTATTGCTTCTCTGTATGAATGAATATAATATCATAATAGTTTTAAGAAATCAATTTTGTTATTTCATCCTTTAACTAAGCCATTGATTTCCCTTATGAATCTTTTACGTCTACTACGACTACTTGAATATATTTCTTTAAATACACTAATGGAAATTCATTTAAGAATTTAAGATTATTAGATATTTACATCATATTTTCAAAATTAATAAAATAACTAATCTAAGTTATATTGTTCAAACTCTAGTCTCTTAGATTTATTTCCTTTACTATTTCATCATTATTCAAAAAGCTAAAAGTATTTATAAATTAAAAATCCTCTTTAAATAATTGATTACAAAAATTCTATTTCTTGCTCTTTATATTGCCTACAAAGATTGGACCTGATTTATTGTTAGATTTTGAGTTTTCTAGTGAATTAATAAAATTCTTCATAATTTTTGTTGTTTCCTCAAATCCATACGCTCGAAATATATTTTCTATTTCTAAAATGTGTTCTTTAATAGCAATTGGATTCGCAATCTAATAAGCCATATTTTATAATCCCAAAAGCGATTCTAAATTATCATCCTGTATTATTGATTCTAAATTTTTGTTAATCAAACTTATTATCCCTTATAATTATTCTAAATTTTATTGGATTAATTTGTTTAATTCTTTTTGAAGACTCTAAATTTCTTAACTTATAAACTTTGTTTACGAGAAAAATTTTTTTTCAAATTCTTAAATATATTGTTTATATTCATTCACTTAATGCTTTCTATTTTATTTTGCCTGATTAATACTAATCGGCTATAATGAGTAGCATTCTTAACAACAAGCTTTTTTATTTAAAGGTATGCTTGGATCAATATCAAGTAAAATGATAGGAAGTTCATGATATAGACATTAGATTTCTGTATTCATTATCAATATTAATAATTAAATATTTAATTTATATAACAAGCTTTAAATAAATTTAATACTTCTATTAAGAGGTTTGTAGCAGAAGATATTTAGATTGAGGTTAATAATTTTCAACATAGATTTTAATTAAAGTAATTTTCTATCTAAATATTGGGTTTATCTATTTTTCACATTTTGTTTATTAGAAAATAAATGCAATCAAAATAATATTCTATGCTTATTAAAGCTTCCTTAATCAATGTTTTGAGATTATTTTTTTTAACTTGTTAAATCTAGTAAATTCAATTAAAATTATGGATTGAAAATTTTTGATAGAATTACCCCTTTTTTAATATATTTTTTTTTCTTTTTGTGAATGGATTAAGATTTTGAAAACAAAACATGCTACAAGCATATAAATCAAAAAATACTTACCGTTGATTTGAAGAGATCAAAATAAGATGAAAGTAGGTACTTATGTTTAAAGTGCTTAATTGATTTAATAGATAACTAAAATATAACAGAAGTGAAAGAAACTAAAGAAATGATCAAAGATATTAAAAACAAATAAAAAGAATAAAAAATACAGAATCTTGAGAAAACAATTAGCTGTTTACAATCAGCTTAATAAAATTTATATCAATTCAAAGAAGCAATAAATAAATTACTTGGAACTATATTAGATAGTATCTTAAACAAAATTTAGGACATATCCTAATAATTAGAATAAATTAAATAATAAGAAGTGTTAATTAATTATTCTAAAGATTTAAATACTCTTTCAGAAAATTATAAAGGATTTTATGATTATGATATTCCTTTAGAAAATGATGAAAACAATAGAGAAAAAGAGTTTATAAATAAAATTCAATCATCATTATTAGAATTAGCTTAACATTAAAATCTACTAGGAACCTTGAAAGATATGGATAAATTAAAATCCTTTTAAATCCTTCCAATAAAGAAATCATGGACAAAGTTGCAAGAAACTAATGTATATGTTATAATTATCTCAAGAAAACTCCTAGTTTAAGAATAAATTGTAATTAGCATGGAAAAGAAGTTATTATGTTCAACATTTGTTAAGATTAAGAATAAATTAATAGATTAGCATGTGTAGATTGCATTTAATAAAATCCAACTCATTATATAACATTGGAATAGGCAAATATAAAGTGGAATGAAATTAAAGGAAAATAATATGAGATAATGATTTAATATACGGAGAAAAGAGCATAAAAGAAAAAGAATTTTATAAAGTAGCTTGAGATAAATTGTAATGAATATTTAGAAAATGCTACTAAAATAATTCAATCTTTTCAAGAATAAACCTTGTTTCTTGAAAGTTAATCCCAAAAAATTCAAGAATTTAATAATCAGCATTTAAATGAATTAGATTATAAGCATCTTCAAGATGTTATAGAGATTCTAACTAAGAATAACAGTTTAATAGTCATAAATTAACAACAATTAAAATAAGAATAATATGATTAAAGATATTATGATGATGCAATAAAATCATTTTTAAAATTGATATCATTCAACAAAACCAATGTGTAAAATATGTTGTTAATAAACAATTAAATAATGCAAGGTAAATATATTTGTTTAGTTTTTATTAGATGAAGAAGTTCCATTACCATAAAACAATTTAAATAAAAATAATAAAAATATTTAGCAAGAATATTTAGAAATAATCAACAAATTAGATCTTTTTTAAATGGAACTTTAAATATTTCAAAATATTACGTAATCTTATCAAATTATTGATAAATAAGCTGAATAAATGAAATCACTTTTAAAAGCTTAATTAAATGAATAGCCTGAAAAATAATTATAGTAGAAATTTGAATTTTTTGATTAACTACACTAAAGTTTTTTAGAGAATACTGAGATTTTAAAAAAATTTTTTTCAATTGAAAAATTAGAGTAAAGAAATCTGAGTGGAGAATAGAAAATTCAAGAATTAGATAATAAATTAAAATAAAAAATACTTTTATTTGACAAGTTAAATTAATAAAAGGAGGAATTAAATAATTAACTCTAAATACAAAATAATCAAATTGAATAATTAAGTAAAAAGTAAATTATATCATTAGATTAATAGAAATAATAAAATTTAGATGAAATTAATAGATAAAAAGTAGAAATAGAAAATTATAAGTAAATTAGTGCACAGAATTTAAAGATAAGAGATGAGGAGATAAATACTTTAAAATAATGGAAATAATAATTAGAATAAAATCCTGTACAAATTACATTTTTTATTTTTAGTTATATTCAGCTTTTTAACAGGAAGAAAGGACAGTAACAGAAATGAATTAATATGCTAGAGAATTAGAGTTTTGTTCATTTAATAAGCATCAACATCTTAAGGTTCCTGAAAATGAAAGGAAAAAAATAAAAACTGAAACAGGAAACAGTGGTTGGTATTTCGGAATATGTAATAAAAGAATTCCAGATAAGAGAGTAACTAAAGTTTGTTTTAAAGTGACAGGATAAGAGAAAGAGGCTTTTATATTAGGAATAGGTAGCAAAGATATTATGAGATAAAATAACTTCTATGATTGTCAGAAATAGGGAAGAGGGTAATTTCTAACATAATTCAAGAACTTATATACTGATGAATTATGAAGGATTTTTTAATCATCAAGGATAGAAGAGAGAAGCATTTAAATTCTGGCCCAACGATGTCATTATGATTGAGGTCGATATGAATTTAAAATTTATTAGATGGACAAAAAAAGACACAAGAGATGGATTTGTATATTTTATTCATTATATTTAGGCTACAAAATTAGTATTGGAAGGAGAATTATATTTTTGCGTGGGTCTTTGGTATAGAGATTAATCAATATAGATATTAAATGATTTTTTTTGAATTAAATTAATTAAAAAAGATAATTAATTTATATGAAAGAGCTCTAGGATCAATGTAGTGTGCAATAAAAAGTTTTAAATTTGACTTTTTTTTTTCTAACTCTACAA